ACACTGACCTGTGATTTTAATTGATTTTAATTGATTTTGAGGTTCGGAAAACGAAGAAGGAGATTAACAATGGCGGCCTTTATCAAGTTAGAAGATTCGCTAATGTTTCAGAACCAGGTAATTCCAAAGTTCTTCACCTTTTCGTGATCGAACGTTTGTTTAATTCCAGAATTACATTTTATATTTTTAATTTGATTAAATTCATAGCCATTCAATAGACTGTAAATCCAGTTTCAGTGGAGTTTGTGTTTACTGAATAATCGAATTCGGTTGAGTCTGTGCTAAGTAGCTGTTGATTAGTATTTTTAGTTTCTGAAAAGAACTCGTCTGTTAACGTAATAGCTTATTTTTGTGTTGCTGTGTATAAATATACTTCATGATCTCGTAAGGGATCATTGTTGTGTGTGTGTTTTTTTTAAGTTATGAAGAAATGATTATATTATGTTTGTGTATTGATTGGTGAGGTATCTTTTTTGGAAAACACTGCTGAGGAGTTGAAAGAACGCTGTCAAACATTATGCAATGGGAGTAAAAAGTTTATGTATGTATTTTTCTCTTTCTAGATTCACTAATTTTCTCTTGTCCCTTACTCATGATAATTGATACTGACCGAACATATCTGAGTGCTCTTTAGTTCAATGTGCAAAATTATCAACTTTGTAGCAAGAGCTTGGAACTAGATTTTGGGTTCAATATCTGGTCTCTAAGGCAAATGTATCTTTGTACTTTTCCCTTAACATCTGACCTTTAATTTGTCCTATTTCCTTTACTATTACACAATTTCAGCTACAACAAAGAATAAGATATGATTAATTTTACCTCCCGAAACACACAAAAAACAGAAAAAAGGGTCCCAACTCATTGATTTAAGTTGTAATTTGTAAATAAAAACTTCAAGAAAAATGTAAATAAAGAAAAATTATCTAAGGTCTCCCTGTCTCCATACATTAATACACACACACATTTATACATTTATTTATTACTTGTCTATCTCCGTTTCTTTTTCAGGACAGCTTTGCTGATTCCTTAGAAGAATTTGGTGGTGGACAAGACGATCCCATTAGTGTCTCCATAGGAGGTAGTCAATGTGTCTTCTTAATTGGCTTTTAACTACAGCACCAGTTATTACTATTTTAGAAAGAAATCTACTGCCTAGTCATCTCAGTTCTTTCTTTCAAACAAAGGTTAACAATTTTGATTAGGCTGCTTAATCTTTGGTTTTAGTTTTACGAATTCTTTTATTTAGTGGATATAAAGACAGATGTCTGTTTGACTTGCATATTTGTAAGCATTTCAGACTGATGAATTACTTTTCTCTTGTAAATTTTGTGCTCAACGAATGGGAAGCCAAAAACTATTTGGAAAATATGTTTTCTTGTGATTGGATAGGAATTGCATTTTAACCGGTTTATTTAAATTTAAATCCCTTAGATGATGATAGTTTTGTGGTCACTTGATGAATCGTTAGAAGTATACTCTTATTCAGAGTGCTTTATCACGAAGCAGCATGCTGGACTTGGACCTTAGTTCAAAAGGAATTGCCTTGGGTTGGAGTCAGTGACGGATGCACACTGTATTGAGGGTGTGCAATGAAATTTAAATTTCCTTCGGTTCGTTGCCTATTTTATTGGTTGTGTCCACCTCACATACAAAAATTTTGTATTGTTAATACATGTGAGTCTACTGTCAAAAATATTTATGTAACACCCTAAACCAATACGACACACAATCGACCAATAAGGGTGAAACACGGAACCACTAGAGTGACTGACCAACCTTTTTCTATTTCTCTTGCTTTAAAACGACTATCTTCTTCATAAATTCAACTGTAAAGTATAATTAAAACTATATACTGGGGAGCTCCCAAAATAAATATTAATGTAAATAATAATAATAATAAAAAACAACTTTAAAAATTCATTTACGACTCAACTTTACAATAGGATTTATAAATATACATACCCTTCAAAATGCTGAGACGTACTCTGCTCTGGTCTGGACCTCAGTCACTCTAAAGCTCCTCGACTACTCCAACTAATCTGCGTAAGGAAACAAATTCCAATCGTTGAGCTAACTAGCTTAGTGCCACACTAACAACTAGATCATACTAACTATACATCACTGAAAGGCTCAATCAAATATAGAAAAATAATTAATGGGGAGCTCACATACCCCTCTAGTCTACCGAGGATGGGACCCTGGAATCTCTGCATCAGACACCACACCCTCGACTAACCCACCACTAGCGAGTGTCAAGCCTTGGCCTTAGTCAACTTAAAGTACCTTGTGCACTCCCTAAGGATAAATCCGAACTTAATCTATACTTTCGACTATATTACATTTTCTAAATGAACTCGGGTGTCCTTCTCGTTTCCCGAGTATACAAACAAGGTTAGTCTTATTTCACCCTATTTAACTCGTTTCTATGTTTGAATTAAACATTATTACTGTTCTCACTTGTAATCTTATTTTGGAGTAATTATAAGCTTTTGGGAAACCTCACTTGCTGCTATACCTCTAATTGAATTTAAAGCCTCATTTCGTAACTTTGGTATCGATACTGACCTTACAGTATCGATACCCTCTACTCAGTATCAATATCCAACCCAAGGTATCGATACCCTAGCTGAAATGCGTTGAAAGAAAGAGGAATTATCAGTACTCATATGCGAGCATTGCTACTGGTATCTTAGGTATCGATACTCCCTAGAGTACCGATACCAAAATAGCCTACTGGAATCTCGATTTTGATACTAAACCCTTCGATCTCGGTACCGAACCCTTAGTATCGATACTCATGTAATGGTATCGATATTGTTCTCCAAAAACTCTAGATTTCATGTTTTCCTTATAAACAATATCGATACTACTTCATGCAATATCGATACCAACCCTTAAACATGCACTATTTAGGCACAAATTTGTCACCCAAACTCCCAAAATTTCCTACTCAACATGCTAAAAACATCAAACATTAAATCTACCATGAAATTCTACTCAACATGCTTAAATCTTAACTTTCTAGCTAAAACTCATTTCTAACGATCTACAACTGGTATGAGGAAGTTGTGAGTGTGTTATCTGGCTTCCTTGGCTGCTAAAATCCTTCTCAACTCAACTAGGAGTCACCTTTCCTTTATCTCTAGCCCTTGAACTTTCTTCCACCTCTTTAGCTAATCAAACATAAGAAAAGTGTTTACTAACTTATCTAAGCCTTAAAACAAGGTTAAGGATACTCCAAACAACTCAAATTTACTAGAATAAACTTGAATCCTTTAATTCCCTTAACCATCCTTAAAAACCAATTTTTGAAATCATGCTCAAACCTTAAGATTTAGGGCTTGAAGTGAAGCTTGGAGGGTGAAGATTTGGATTTTTACCTTGGTTACTTCTAACTAAGCTTGGAATTTGAAAAGCTTCCACCTTTACCTTACTCTTGGGGAGGAATAAGAAGAGAGAAATAGAAGAGCGTTTTGGGTGGGTAGTTTCGCATGAAATCCTCTAATTATAAGGGGTTTCTATCCTTTAAAACAAGCTATGGGTAAATTGCTAATTTGATCCCTTTCCTTTTAAACCGAACTTAAAACTACCACTCAACTTGAACTCTTGGGCCAAACTTAAGCCCAATACCCTTATAAATTGGTCCAAATTGGTCTAGAAAATCTAATGGGCTCAACTTATGGGTCTCGGGTTGACTCAAACTACTGACCCGAAATTCAGGGTATTACAAGATCATAGCATAAACCGACAAATCTAGGGTGTCCCGCTCTCTTCAATATATTATAGTTCACTAATAGATGTCTCCACAAGGACAATGTGCTGAAGATGGTGCTAGTTGTTGGGTCCATCTCTATTTTTTTCGTACTATTACTTTTTCTGGCTACATCTCATCTGGTGGTTATCATGTTGGTACATTAACTATCTATTAGGAACAATTTTTTCATTCCCGAATCCCTTCATCCAACTAGGCAGCTGCATGGGTGCAAATGTTATAACATCTTTCTATTTTGAAGGGATATTTTATCAGGTTAATATTGTTAGGTGAGGTTTGATTCCCCCCCCCCCCTTTGTTTTAGAATTTCAGTTGATATTGTTTTTTATCTACTTCTCTATATGATACTTCTGTAAATGTCCCTATAAAAAATTAATATGTAAAATGAAAGAGGAGAGAATGATGTGTCCAATTAAAAAAAATAATGTAGCTGTCATCTAGCTGAAAGATTGAAGATTCTACGTTAAAGGAACTTTACATGGTTCCCTTTTGTAGGGCCGATTGTGTCTAAATTCATCAATGCATTTCGTGAGCTTGCTAACTTCAAGGAGATGCTGCTTTCATAAGTATCAATTTACTATCAGAAGAATTCAATTCTTTCTTACCATTGAAGAACTAGGGGACAAGTAGGCTTTGTCTTATCAATGTTATTCCAAATATATCTGTTCTGTTACTAACATTTTATTAGATGTTATTATCTTAGCCACCGGTAATTTTTCCTTTTTTCTGTTTACAATATGATTTTAAATAGTTATGTAGTATTCGAGGCGTTGGGTTATTTAGATCTCTATGGGTTGATATGATTGCATATTTTGAAGTGGTGCCAAGTAATAAACCATGAATGATCTGTTAATTAGATTTGACGGGATATTTTGCTTAAGATGTCATAAGCACCTTGCCTAACACTCTTAATTTATAAGATGAGGTTCTAGATGGTAGATAGATATCATGCACCTTTAAGTATATTTTCTCAGAAAAGTATTTAGCATGTTGAATTCTATATATGTACTAATAAATTCTTCATTTGCATAAAGATGCTTGTGTTCAATTTGGTTCATTTCCTTGCTCTTTATATATGATAGCACCTTTAGACATTGAACGTATTTGTTATGCATGAAGGCTACAATCTTCAGGCCACTTGTTGCAAAACTTCAATTTGAGTCAATATTAACACCATACTACATGCCTGAGAATAGTTAATTATTTTACTGTTCTTCATGGAGTCTACATGGGCATCGAGGGGAAGCTTATTTTGGAGAGTGATTGCTCCAAAGCCTTAGACTGGATTAGAAATCCGGATTCTTGTTCTTTGCTTAATTCGATTGTGAAGGAAATTGTGTCTATTGGTATAGATAGGAATGTTATTGTGAGACGTATTTAGAGATGTGCGAATTGGGAGGCGGATGAATTAGCTAAGCTAGGAATCGGTTAAGGTGGTGTTTTGTTTTAGGTTTTCTTAGGAGAAAGCTTTCTGGTTAAAATTATTTTTGACTCACTTGATAGCCACAAAGAGGAAAGGGAACGGCACGATCCATCAGCCTGTCAGAGAATCAAGGATTTGAATGACCCGGGGAACTGTTTACAAGGTTGTTCGTTGTTGCATCTGGCATGCCAAGGTGGCAGTATTGTGATGCTTGAGCTGTTGCTGCAGTTTGGTGCTGATAAAAATATACCCGACTTCCATGGAAGGACTCCTTTGCACCATTGCATTGCTCTGGGGAACAATTCATTGGCAAAGCATCTTCTTAGAAGGTAAGCTTCATATTTTTGCATGGTTACTTATCCATACCGTCAAAGCATACAAAAAAGAAGAAAAAACGATACAGCATGACACTATTAAACATGATTAATCGCAACGCGTTCAATACATGTATCGTATTCATGTTCGTAAACTCGATGAAACTGAACAGAGGAGCAAGGTCTTCGATTAAAGATCACAGGGGATTCAGCGCATTGGAAAGAGCAATGGAGAAGGGTGCAATAACGAACGAGGAGCTGTTTCTTCTTCTCAATGAAAGCTAGTGGAACAAGCCTGCCTGGTTTTCCCGAATCGGTAAATCCTGTTTCTCTCGCCGGATTTTCAGTTATGCCGGTGTTTGTTGGCTTTATATAAGCATAAAAAGAGCCACGCATCCTCTTTTAATCCATCGAGGTCGTTAAGGCATTCTTCACTTATGATAATTAAAGCTTGATGTTTTCGAGTTTGAACTTCTTCGCGTGCTTGATTTTCTTTGTTGATTGTATCGCCAAAATTTCATTTACATAGTCTTTACGTTGTGACGGTTGATGATCGTATCACGCCTTCAAAATCTTCAAGCCCAAACTATCGCAATATCATAGTCAACTTGCTTAACTTGTCCTTGATTTATTGCATTGCTCGGCATTTGCCTAATAAAAAAAAGAGAGAATTCCATTTGATTCGATCTGATTCAATGATTCGACAAATATATATATATATATATATATATATAATTTTCATTTTTATTAGGTAAGCTAGAGAGTTAATCGAAACAAATATAAAAGGGTCTTATAATAATGTTTCTTAAATATATAAAGGTCAATTATATTATTATTTTTGGGTCGGATATTTTTCATCCTAAATATGAATTCGACCAATTTCACTTTGTTCTTCTAAAAGGATTCGACTTGACATGATTTAAACATGATTTTTATTTTTAAAAATTGATCTTATAAGATCTGATCGAGTTGATACCCATCATATTCGAGTCAAATAATGTACAATATTAAAGTTAAAGTGTACAAATGATTATTAAATTATATTGAAACGATCTTTTTAAAAGTTATAAAATGATCAATAAATTTATGAAATTGTTACGAAGTGATTATTATATATTATGAAACGATGATAAAATTTAATAAGTTTAAGTGATCATTATATATTATGAAACGATGATAAAATTTAATAAGTTTAAGGATTATTTTATAATTATTAGATAAAATTTAATAATCATTTTTGATAATTTAATAAAATTTAATAATTACTTATAATCTTAAAAATTTAAATAATTAGAAAATCCACAAATTTTGTAAAGTATATTTTATATCATGACAATAAACACCGATTAACAATTTTCGCTGCATATATATACATGAGAGATTGGACCGCGCAGGTAGTGCGCTGTTGAACCGAGACATGCGCGGGCAGCAAAATACCCACGTGAACCGTATGCTTGGATTTGATTTAAAAGAGGAAAAATTGTGCATCTTGGACTCGGGGAGGTTGATGATCATGAACTCGGTTGTCGTAGCGTTTATGGTGAGGAATTAGTCTCGTATTTCTTTAAGCGCCAAGCCAATCCTTCTCTTTATTTACTCTCCCCCCTGCCCCGCCTAAGGCATCCCCCCCCTCCGATTATTCAAAAACAATCTTACCCAAAGAAGAACCAAAACAATAAGGCGAAACGCTTTGGATTTTTTTCTTTTATTCATTTCGTCGAACAGGTGCGCTGCATTTCTTTGTCTTCCGTTTTCTTCCCATAATTCTCTGCTTTGTATTCTTTTTTTCTATTCTGATTGGTTTTTGATATAAGGTGATTTTGATTACCTCTGTTCATTGAAATTCGATTCGTCGTGTTCGTGTTCGTTTTATTGTTTATTTGTGTCTGTGATTTGGAACAAAGGTGGTGTTTTGAATCTTTTCTGTTTCCGTAAAAACAATTGTTTTTGACGTCCGACAGTGATAACATGAGCTTTCGAGGCCGAAATAGATCTAGAAATCATTCCCAAAGCACTCGTCAAGAATGGGTTCCTAGAGGCTCTTCTTCATCTACAACCACCACCACCTCCGCTAGCAATTCACCAGCCGCCCCCAATGTCAACCACGCCTCTACTCGAAATGATGATTATAGGAATAGGCAAAGTGGTCGGCCCACCAACCAAAGGAGAGGGAGAGAAAAGGGAAGTGGTGAGAATCTTGTGGCAGTGAGGAAGGAAATTGATCCGAATTTGCCACAGCTTGTGAAGGAAATTCAGGACAAGCTTATAAAGAGCACGGTTGAATGTATGATTTGTTATGATATGGTACGGAGATCTGCCTCCATTTGGTCGTGCTCGAATTGTTACTCCATTTTTCACCTCAATTGTATTAGGAAGTGGGCTAGGGCGCCCACATCTGTTGATTTAGTGGCTGAGAAGAATCAAGGTTTCAATTGGCGTTGTCCGGGCTGTCAATCTGTGCAGTTGACATCCTCTAGGGAGATATTTTATGTTTGCTTTTGCGGGAAGCAGATAGACCCACCTTCAGATTTGTATTTGACACCACATTCATGTGGGGAGCCATGTGGAAAGCCGCTTGAGAAGGAGCTAGGACTAGGTTCTGGGGTGATGAAAGATGAGCTTTGTCCTCATGTATGTGTTTTGCAGTGTCACCCTGGTCCTTGCCCTCCTTGTAAGGCGTTTGCTCCGCCACGGTTGTGTCCTTGTGGGAAGAAAGTTATTACAACCAGATGCTCTGATAGAAAGTCAGTTCTTACCTGTGGTCAGTGCTGTGATAAACTTCTTGAGTGTGGGCGTCATAGGTGTGAGCGGATATGCCATGTGGGAGCTTGTGATCCTTGTCAGGTTGTAATCGATGCCCCTTGTTTCTGCAAGACAAGGCTTGAGAATGTAATCTGTGGATACATGGCTTTGAAGGGGAAAGTGAAAGCTGAAGACGGTATCTTTTCTTGTGGGTTAACTTGTAGAAAGAAACTTAGATGTGGTAATCATAACTGTCCCGAGATTTGCCATCCTGGTCCTTGTGGGGATTGTCAGTTAATGCCAAGCAAGATCAAGTCTTGTTACTGTGGGAAAACAAGCTTGCAGGAGCCAAGGCAAAGTTGTCTGGACCCAATTCCAACTTGTTCAGAGATATGTGCCAAGTTCCTTCCTTGTAAAATGCACCAATGTGACCAAATGTGTCATGCAGGGGATTGTCCACCTTGTTCAGTTCTTGTCACCCAAAAATGTCGATGTGGATCAACTTCTCGGAGGGTAGAGTGCTACAAAACAACACTTGAGAATGAGAGATTTACATGTGACAAGCCTTGTGGGAAGAAGAAGAATTGTGGCAGACATCGATGTAGTGAACGATGCTGTCCTCTCTCAAGTTCAAATAATCTTTGGTCCGGCGATTGGGATCCACACTTTTGCCAAATGTCTTGTGGGAAAAAGCTGAGGTGTGGGCAGCATTTTTGTGAATCTCTTTGTCACAGTGGTCACTGTCCTCCATGCTTGGAAACAATCTTCAACGATTTGGCATGTGCTTGTGGAAGAACTTCAATCCCTCCTCCATTGCCTTGTGGCACGCCACCTCCTTCTTGTCAACTTCCATGCTCGGTTCCACAGGCTTGTGGTCATTCATCTTCTCACATCTGCCACTTTGGAGATTGTCCACCATGTTCTGTGCCTGTGGCGAAGGAGTGCATTGGAGGACATGTTGTTCTTAGGAATGTTCCGTGTGGATCAAAAGATATTAGATGCAACAAACTTTGCGGCAAGACCAGACAGTGTGGTTTGCATGCATGTGGTAGAACATGTCACCCAGCACCATGTGATACCTCTTCTGAAGCTCAACCGGGCTTCAGGACTTCTTGTGGGCAGGCATGCGGTGCCCCAAGGAGAGACTGCAGGCACACATGTACTTCACCTTGTCATCCCTCTGCACCTTGTCCCGATGTTAGGTGTGATTTTCAAGTTACAATCACATGTTCTTGTGGCCGGATAACTGCAACTGTTCCTTGTGATGCTGGGGGCTCCACTAGTAGTTTCAGTGCTGATACAGTTTTTGAAGCTTCTATTATTCAAAAATTGCCAGTGCCCCTTCAACCAGTGGAATCAACTAACAAGAAGATTCCTCTTGGACAAAGGAAGCTTATGTGTGATGATGAATGTGTTAAGTTGGAGCGCAAACGGGTTCTTGCAGATGCATTTGACATTACTCCACCCAACTTGGATGCTCTTCATTTTGGTGAGAATTCAGTTACATCCGAGATACTTTCTGACCTATATAGGCGTGATCCGAAGTGGGTTCTAGCTATAGAGGAGAGATGTAAGTTTTTGGTACTTGGCAAGAGCAGAGGAACAACAACCAGTCTCAAAGTTCACGTGTTCTGCCCAATGCTGAAGGATAAAAGAGATGCCATCAGGATAATTGCAGGAAGATGGAAGCTTGCTATCGGTGCCGCTGGTTGGGAGCCCAAGCGTTTTATTGTCGTTCATGTTACTCCCAAATCCAAACCACCACCTCGGATCATTGGAGTTAAGGGGTCAATCAGTGCCGGGGCACTACATCCACCTGTATATGATTCTTTGGTAGACATGGATCCAAGACTTGTTTCCTTCCTGGATTTGCCCCGTGAAGCTGACATAAGTGCATTGGTTTTGAGATTTGGTGGGGAGTGCGAACTAGTTTGGTTGAACGACAAGAATGCATTGGCTGTGTTCAGTGATCCGGCTCGCTCTGCAACAGCAATGAGGAGATTGGATCATGGCTCAGTTTATAATGGGGCTGTTGCGTTTGTTCAGAGTGGTGCATCATCAGGAGCATCGTCTGCTAATAATGCATGGGGGGGAGCAGGAACAAGCTCAGCTTCAAAGGCAAATCCATGGAAAAAGGCTGTAGTCCAGGAGCTCAGGTGGAAGGACGACTCATGGGGCGGTGAAGAGTCTGTTGGTGTCCCTTCTGATCTGGGGTCTGTATGGAAAGGCAAGGAACCTCCGATTGCAGCTTCAGTTAATCGATGGAGCGTTCTTGATTCTGAAACAGGCGTAAACTCCTCCTCGGGAGCATTTCGAACTGAAGATTCTCCAAAGCCAGCCGGAGTTCTAACCAATTCAGAAATGGATTCTGGAGCTACCAATTCGAACTCAGCTAGTCTGTCTGGTGGGGGTTTTAATGAATCCAAGCCGTTGGAGGTTGTAGATGATTGGGAGAATGCCTGTGAATGAGAAATATAGCATTAGCCAGGGAGATGGCTCTGTCCGGTTTCGTTTACAAATGGTAGGAACAACTGTGGTTTTGATTTTCTTGTCTACTTTATGCCGAACAGCGTCGCATAGGTCTTGAGTATAATCTTTCTAATTTGTGAGGATGATTTTATGGTATTTTGAATAAATAAATTTACCTTTAGATCTATCAAATGTTTCTTTTTTGACCGTCTGATTAATTCGATTGTGATCGATTGCCAACTAAGTATTAAATACGAAGTTTATCCTAAATATAATTATCAAAATTTATTACTATAAGCGTATTGACACATGATTTAATATTAGGAGTGAACTTAAATTTAGAGGGACGAAAATAGATTTTTAATAAAAAATAGATAAAAAAAATTTAAGATATATAAAAAATTTAAATTTTCAATAGGACGATTACTCTCACCCGCTTTCTCTTCGATCCATCCCTACATACAGTGCTGGTGGGAAGCTTTTCCAATATGTAAAGAGACTTCACTTAATGAATGCCCCATAAGTTGGGGGAGATAAATGAGTAAAAGTATAATACTTTAGGTTAAGTATAATTTAAAATATTATATATTAATATTTTTTTATTAAACTTAAAATGTTATATTTTATTAATATTTTTAATGATAGTTAAAAATTATTTTTTATTTAATAATATTCTAGGTTTAATAATAAAATATTATAATAGAAAAAGATGATATTTTAAATAATGTTCAACTTAATATGTTAAATTTTTCGTTACATGGACGTCTATTTTTAGTATTTTTTAATGTAAATTATGTTACCGTATCGCATAACTATAGATTATGATCTTGACATTAAAGTCGACGGCTTGGAGGCTTACATAGGGAAAGTCATATGTACGGCAACTTAATATATGATTAAATAAAATACGTTATCGGAAATATTATTATTTTTTTAATATTTTCAGTAAAATATTACTTAAAACATCATTTATTCTACCGGAATGTTAATATTTGACACTATTTAAATATTATTTTTTTACCGAAAATATTAACATTAGACGTGTTCTAAAACATTATTTTTTACTAGAAATTAGTTATTAAAATTAACATTTTCGGTAAAAAAATAATATTTTAAATAACGTTTTATCAAAAATATTAAAAAATAATAATATTTTCGATAATATATTTATATATTAGATTATCGTACAACAAATCTTCCCTGATTGCTTTCTTCCACAAAAGTAATCATGAGTACCAAACTGTGAAATTTGATACCTTACGTATAAAGATTGAGCACAGCGGATCCCAGGAACTCCTTCCTTAGCAAGTTTCACTAAAGCCGCTAACTACCGTACTGACAAATCGTTCTTTCCTCACTCGAAAAGCTTCACGTAGCGTGTCAAAATCCCATTCGCTGCTAGTCAAAACACTGCCCGTTTTCTTCCATTGGGTATATGGTCATTGTTTTTGACTACATAGTTGACGATCGAAGTCTCCGAGTAAATAATAATTGCTCTCTCAATCATCAATGGAGTCTGGGTTCAGTTACGTTTTATGATCTCTCACATCCTTCTCTCCGGTAACTGCTCTTTCTTTGTTTTATTAATAACGGTGGGAAATTTGATTTCTTTTCTTATACGATTCATAAAGATTGAAACCTAGAATTGTATTGCTTTATTTTGCTGTAATTTTCTGGGAAAATGTACTTACTGACTTTGAAGATTTTAAAAGCTTTACTTTCTGTTTAAGAGTGTTTGTTTGGACGGAGGGGATGCAGATTCTTGTTCCCCCCTTCTCATTCTTGTTACATTCACCACTTATATATGCTATAAAACCCATCTTCTTGTGCTTAAAAAATCTTTAGTCCCACCATGTTGTAACTGATAGATTTACTCGATTATATTGATTGCAGTTCTAATTCTGTCTGTTCTTTTCCTCTTTATTTATGAAAGATTGATTGTTTCATTGGATGGCTGTTTATCTTGGTGGTGTATTCTACAGTACTAGTTTGTATCTTGGTGTCTTTTTTGCAGTTAATTTTATGTTTTAAAGTGGTAAGAACATAGGGCATAGAGTGAATTGAGACCATGAGTAAGAAGACAATTCAAGTTAATGGCTTCCTCTCAAACGTGTCTGCTGCGGAAGTAACGACATTTTTAGAGGGATATACCGGCAAAGCTACCGTCTTTGCCCTCAAGATTAGGCAGCAGAGGAACGGTGCAAAAGCATATGCTATCGTGCAATTCAACGAAAGCTCCGATGCAGAGCGAATTATTAGGTTGGCTAATCACGGACTTTACTACCGGAGTTCGTATCTTAAGGCTCGACAAATGGAGAAGGACATCGTGCAGAAGCCGAGAACCTTTTTGCACACGATGGAGCTCATTACGGTGCATTTCGGCTGTCAGGTCTCGGATGAAAAATTTTATGATCTCTGGAACTCTGATGATGTTACTGTGAAATTTGGGGCAGGAATGCGGAAATTGCTGTTTCTACTCTCACATTGTGGATCGGAATACAAGCTTGAGCTTTTCTATGAGAACATCTGGCAGATCGAGCTGCATCGTGCTTACAATCGAACCTCAAAGCATCTTCTGATCCAGGTTGCTATGCTAATCTTTGATTATAAATTTGTTCTGTCTTTATTGTATCATGCTAGCTTCCTAGAAACAGGAGTCATTGCTTGCATATAACTGGTGCCCTCACTCCTTAGATTCATATATGATGTTCCTTTATCTGATTCTGAATCTGCTTTGTGTTTTCCTTTTAATTTTCAGTTATTTGGTGCTCCACGGATATACGAGAAAGAAGTGCGCAGTTCCGGACTTGTATTCGATGATCCCTTGTTTAACTACTTCATGGATGCACCTGATGATCAATGGGTAAGGACAACTGATTTCACTCGATCGTATTGTATCGGCCAGTCTTCTGCATTATGTTTGGAGCTTCCACACAACCTCGAACTTCCGAATTTTCAGGAGAACTTTGCTTACTACAAAGAAAACGAAGGCAGATTGGTTTTGGAAAGTGGCTGTTCTTATTCTTGCAATCTTACCCTTGTCCCAAGTGTTCGCCCTAGGCTGGGAGTTAACTTGCCATTTGAAATATTGTTCAAGGTTAATTTGTTGGTGCAAAATGGGTGCATCCCGGGACCAGCACTCGATGATACTTTTTATCGACTCGTCGATCCTTCTAGAATGGAAAAAGTCTACATAGACTATGCACTGGAGAAACTTTATTATCGAAAAGAATGCTGCTATGAACCTTTGAGGTGGCTCTTTGAGGAGTACCGAGTTTACACCAGATCGACGATACATCCTGTGTCGCCTGCCATATCCTTGGACTATGGTTTGGTATATGTAAGAAGGGTTCAGATAACACCTTCTAGGATCTACTTCGTTGGCCCTGAGATTAATGTTTCTAACCGTGTGTTACGTGAATTCCGTAACGATATTGATAATTTTCTGCGCATCAGTTTTGTCGATGAAGAGTTGGATAAGATCCATTCAATGAATGTGCAGGCAAGGGGTAGGCGAACTGGTATTTATGAAAGGATTCTTTCTACTCTTCGAAATGGCATAGTGATCGGGGATAAGAGATTCGACTTTCTTGCCTTTTCATCGAGCCAGTTAAGGGAAAATTCAGCCTGGATGTTTGCTTCGAGAATGGGGCTCAGTGCAGCTGATATAAGGTCATGGATGGGAAATTTTAGTAGAATAAGAAATGTCGCAAAATATGCTGCTCGACTTGGCCAATCTTTCAGTTCATCAACCGAAACTCTTAGTGTTAATAAAGATGAAATCAACCATATTCCAGATATAGAAGTTGTTACGGATCAAAATAAATTTGTCTTTTCTGACGGAATTGGGAAAATATCAGGTGAATTTGCTAAGAGGGTGGCTGCTAAATGCCACTTGAATGGTACCGTCCCGTCGGCATTTCAGATTCGGATTGGCGGATTCAAAGGTGTTGTGGCTGTTGACCCCACCTCACCTTGGAAGTTATCCCTCAGAAAGAGTATGGAAAAGTATGAATCAGAGAGCACAAAACTAGATGTTTTGACTTGGACTAAGTATCAGCCTTGTTTCCTCAACCGCCAGTTGATTACTCTGTTATCTACTCTCGGGGTTCCAGACTGTGCTTTCGAGAGAAAACAAAGAGAAGTAGTAGATCAACTCAATGCCCTTCTGACAGATCCCTTGAAGGCTCAGGAGGCGCTGGAGTTGATGTCTCCAGGAGAAAATACCAACATTCTCAAGGAAATGCTCCAATGTGGTTATAAGCCTGATGAAGAACCATTCCTTTCCATGATGTTGCAAACATTCCGAGCGTCAAAGTTACTGGAGTTGCGGACTAAAACCAGGATATTCATTAAAAATGGAAGGTCTATGATGGGATGCCTAGACGAAACCAGAACATTGAATTATGGCCAAGTGTTTGTGCAGTTTTCTGGCTCTAGACCCGGGCAACGTTTTCTCGTTCAGGATAAGGTAGTTGTCGCGAAAAACCCTTGCTTGCACCCTGGCGACGTGCGTGTCTTGAGCGCAATTGATGTTCCTGATCTGTACCATTTAGTGGATTGTATCGTCTTTCCACAGAAAGGAACTAGGTACATCAAGGCCATGCCTTTTCTTATACTGTTTATCCCCTCTATAGCTTGCATTATTTACATTTTATAATTTTGTTCGAGCATGTACATCTAGTTCAAGGATTAAGGTATAGTTGCTATACATTTTTTGTATGTTTATGTTGGATCCTGCTCAATTTGTGGAAGCTCTGTATTTTTCAATGTATTTACACATGATAAACAAGATGGTAGCTGTGATTTCATTATATAGAAATTTCACCATGCATAATGATTTACTGACCCGAAATCGAATCGAATTCTTAGACCTCATCCGAATGAATGTTCGGGAAGTGATCTGGATGGTGATATCTACTTTGTCTGTTGGGACACGGATCTGATTCCGCCAAAGCAAATTGAGCCTATGGATTACTCACCAGCTCCAAGTGTTACACTGGATCATGAAGTAACCATTGAGGTATTATTCTTTTAGGTGTTCGGTTCATGCTGTTAATCATTTAATAATCATACCGTGTAATCCGGTTTTCGTGGTAGCTTCGGTTTTCGAACTCGATATCCTATGCTATTTTATTTGCTGGGTTATGGAGATTTAATTCTGAGATCATTGATAATTTCTATAATGTTTTGGTGCAGGAAGTTGAAGAATATTTCACAAACTACATAGTCAATGACAGTTTAGGAATCATTTCAAATGCTCATGTTGCTTTTGCTGATAGAGAACCTGGCAAAGCGATGAGCCACTCGTGTCTGGAACTTGCCAAGCTGCATTCGATTGCGGTTGACTTTCCGAAAACGGGCGTACCAGCTGAAATACCACAAGAATTGAGAGTCAAAGAATATCCGGATTTCATGGAGAAGCCGGACAAACCAAGTTATCAATCACACAGGGTTATTGGAAAGCTTTTCCGGGAGGTGAAAAGTCTTGCACCTAACGAATGCTCGATCAATTCCTTAACTCAGGACAAAATGAAGAGGTTTTATGATCCCGACATGGAAGTCGATGGCTTTGAGGATTATATCGACGATGCTTTCTTCCACAAAAGTAATTACGATTACAAACTGGGGAACTTGATGGACTATTATGGGATCAAGACCGAGGCCGAAATCCTCAGTGGCTGTGTCATGAAAATGGCGAGATCTTTCACGAAGAGAAGAGACGCAGAGGCCGTCAATATGGCCGTGAGGTCATTGAAAAAGGAAGCTAGGTCATGGTTCAATGAAAAGCGAAGTGGATCGGATGATGAAATAGACGATGCATATGCAAAAGCCTCGGCTTGGTACTATGTCACATACCATCCAAGTTATTTTGGTCAGTATAATGAGGGAATGAATAGGGATCATTTTCTGAGCTTTGCTTGGTGTGTTTATGACAAGCTGATCCAAACCAAGAAAGAGATTGCGAGCATTCGGAGAGCTTTGGATATGTCGTCTTTGGAAAGCCGGTTTCGACGTGGATTGGGTTTGGATTGAGGTGGTTCGGCATATATTTCTCGTTGTCCGAAGTATGTAAATATGGCTAGTTAATGTTTCCTAGGTAGTATGAATGTTGTCTAACGTAAATATCTAGTGGTGTTGATTAAAAAAGCATTGTATGATATGCTGCAAATTAGTTGGTTTGGTGTATGTATATGAATCATGCCTCCATTCCATGCCGGATAGCTCTCTCGCAGCGCTTCCGGCAACCGAGACAGGCAATGCAGTGGAGATACAACGCAGGCAATACATGTGTAAGTCTAATCAATACTACTATAAAATTAGAGGGACTAAATAATGGATATCAAATTTTAGCATTGTAGAGACAAATTTTTCCTCCAATAACAATATGGATCCCTGGTACCGTCAACACCTTTTATTTTCTGATTAAAACATCTAGGAGTTTATTTCGATCAGAAAACATGAAGAGTTTTGTGGTCAATCGATCAAACATTTCATCGACAATATCACTGCCAAAGTGTTTGATGAACATTCCCTCCAATGCTGCCCTAAAACAGTGAAGCTCTCCGAATACTCGCCTCCTCTCGCTTGGTTTGGATCCGCTACGAGTCATGAACGCACCAAGCAAAGCTCAGAAAATGATCCCTATTCATTCCCTCGTTACAGTGACCCCAATAACTTGGATGGTACCTGACGTAGTACCAATCCGAGGCTTTTGCATATGCATGTCTATTTCATCATCCGATTCGCTTCGCTTTTCATTGAACCATGATCTATCTTACTGACGGCTTCAGCATCTATCCTCTTCGCGTAAGATCTCGACATTTTCATGATAGCGCCATTGAGGATTTCAGCCTCAGTCATGATCCTATAATAGTCCATCAAATTCCCCAGTTTGTAATGGTAATTACTTCTGTGGAAGAAAACATCGTCACTGAAAAAGGGAGCTAGGTCACGGTTCAATGAAAAGTGAAGTGGATCAGATGATGAAACAGATGATGCATATTTAAAAACCTCAGCTTGGTACTATGTCACATACCATAAGTTATTGGGGTCAGTATAATGAGGGAATGGATAGCGATCATTTTCTGAGCTTTGCCCGATACAATATGATTGAGTGAAATCAGTTATCCTTATCCATTGATCATCAGGCACATGCATATAGAAGTTACCAAAGAGAAAAATGAGAAAGATCATAAAATATAACTAAACCCAGACTCCATTGATGATTGAGAGAGAGAATAAAGAATCCTTGGCCGCACATGTTCGTATCAACTTAAAACACAAAATTCACTGCAAAAACCAGACACCAAGATACAAATAATACCGTATACCAAACCGTTGCTTTTTCACTGTTTCTTTAACTATTCTCCTTTAATATTCGAAAGAGGTAAATCATTAAGAAATGATTACAACTATATGTAGGCTACAACTAGCCTCCTGCTAACAATGGCTTGGTAAGGACATCAACAAGTTGATCAGAGGTAGAGACATGAGAGACTCGGAGAAAATCATTTTGCACTTGTTCATGTATAAGATGATAGTCTAAAGCAACATGTTTCATGCGTGAATGAAACACCGGATTGACACACAGATTAGATGCCTCGTCCACAGAAGAGGTAGGAGAACTGGTATTTACGAAAGGATTCTTTCAACTCTTCGCAATGGCATAGTGATCGGTGATAAGAGATTCGAATTTCTAGCCTTTTCATCTAGCCAATTACGGGAAAATTCAGCCTGGGTGTTTGCCTCGAGAACGGGGCTCAGTGCAGCAGATATAAGGTCATGGGTGAGAAATTTTAGTAAAATAAGAAATGTGGCAAAATTTGCTGCTGGACTGGCCAATCTTTCAGTTCATCAACCGAAACTCTTAGTGTTACTAAGAATGAAATCAACCATATTCCAGATATAGAAGTTGTTACGGATCAAAATAAATGTCTTTTCCGATGGAATTGGAAAAGTATCAGTTGAATTTGCCGAGAAGGTGGCTGCTAAATGCCACTTGAATGGTTTCACCCCATCGGCAAATTGAGCCTATGGATTACTCACCAGCTCCAAGGGCTACACTGGATCATAAGTAACCATTAAAGTATTATTTTGTAGGTATTAAGTTCATGCTGTTAATCATTCTTCCAAATATTACAGTTTCATGCTGCCAATCATTCAATGCCACTCGTGTCAGGAGCTTGCAAAGCTGCATTCAATTGCAGTTGACTTTCCCAAAACAGCTGTACCAGCTGAAATACCTCAAGAATTGAGAGTCAGAATTTCTTGATTTCATGGAGAAGCCGGATAAACCAAGTTATCAATCACACAGGGTTATTGGAAAGATTTTCCGAGAGGTGAAAGTTATTTTGGTCAGTATAATGAGGAACTGAATAGGGATCATTTTCTGAGCTTTGCTTGGTGTGTTTATGACAAGCTGATCCAAACCAAGAAAGAGAATGCGAGCATTCGGAGAGCTTTGGATATGTCGTCTTTGGAAAGCCGGTTTCGACGTGGACTGAGTTGAGTCGGCATATGTTTCCCGTCGTCTGAAGTATGTAAATCTGGGTAGTTAATGTTTCCCAAGTAGTATGTATGTTGTCTAATGTAAATACCCAGTGGTTGTAATTGAGAAAGGAAAAAGAACATTGTATGATATGCTGCAAATTATGTTGGTTTGATGTTTGTGTATAAATCCTGCCTTCGTTCTACGTCGGATAACGCTCGGCTTGCAGAGCTTTCGTCGACCGAAACAGCCGATGCAGTGGAGAGACGACGTAGGCAACACCGCAACATCATGTGAATCTAATCAATAACATTATAAAGGTGGAGGGACTAAATGAATATCGAGTTTTTGCAATGTGGAGACAACTTTTTCCACTAATAACAATATGGATCCCTGGTACTATCAACACCTTTTATTTTCGGATTAAAACAACTAGGAGCTGATTTCGATACATGTACCCCGAGTTCACTCGTTCAGAAACATGAGTTTTTTTGTCAGTCGATCAAACATTTCATCGACAATATCACTGCCAAAGTGTTTGATGAACATTCCCTCCATCGCTGCCCTAACATGGACGATCCAAGCTTTTATATCAACTCGGCCATCTGTCAGAGAAGCAGAGTTGATCAACTCCAAAATCTCGATGCTAAACTGCCCATTTGTCTCCACCGCCGTCGTCATCTCCTCCGGGGACGGAGTGTATATCGGCAAGTTAAATGAATCCACTTCGTCTTCACTTATCAACCCTTCATTGGCCATATCCATGAAGCTCGACGCCATGAACTCGTACATTAGACTAGCGGCCAATTGAGAATAAGTCATTTCATTGGGAATACCCGGCATGCTTATGACCATCATGCCGCCACTAACGATCTCCGTTGCTCTCGCACACAAAAAGTCCTCCATGTCCTCGGAGAATCGAGCTGCATAAGCTCGGACTACTTCGTTGGAAGCATTACTGTAGTGTATCCTCCCTTTATACCATGCAATTGAGTTTTTGTCTTGTAGCTCCTCTGGTACCTTGGAAAGCCAATGGAGAGCGAACGAGCAGTGCACGAAATGGACCGAGGATGCCGGGAATAACCGGCGGTGAAACGAGCCCGGCACACCGGCCGCAAAGTAGGGTGTTTCCCGAGGGAGAGACTTGAAGAGTGTGTTGAAATCGTTGGACGGTTGGTCGTTGAAAAGCACCAGGAATTCGAGTGTTTTGTCGGATTTCGGGCATTGGAGACTGTACTTTTGTTGTATATAGTGTACGACATCTTGCATGGTGTTTATGGTATTCGGACCAATAGCTCACCCCAAATCTGCAATGCAAATTGCGTAGGACGTTGAAGATTGCTCCCTTGATTGCTCCCTCAGCCACATTTGCAGTATATTTCTGCCAGTTGTGACAATTACAATTTTGTACAGGAGTTAAAATGTAATTTAACCATTGGTTTGACTTCTAACTTTTCTCTTTTCTAGAATAGTTAACTCCACATGAGGTCCCTATGACCGCTATGACCGCTTTCTAAATTGGTCTCTATATTTTAAAACATTTGATGTCGGTCCCAGCTATAACCCTTTCGAAGTTGATCCATAAACTTTAAAACATTTTATATCATTCCTCAAACTATCAGTATCATTCCAAACTATCAGTATCATTCCATTCTGATACTGATAGTTTAAGGACATATATAGAATACCTTAAAGTTTATGGACCGATTTAAAATGATGTCATAATTTGAAGACCAATATAAAATATTTAAAATAGAGTCGTAATTTGAGGGCATCGTATCCAGTTATCTCTGTTTAGAATGATCAAATCACAAATTTTATTTTAAGAGATTAATTATCATATACTAACTTATAAATTTATTTTAAATTTACAGTATTAAAATGTAGTATAATTTTACCAATTAATGAATCAAAAACTTAAAAGAGATATAGACCTGAAAGTAGGAGTTTCTGGTGTAGCTGTAAGCGCCTTCGCCACCGTAGACATGAAGTGCGTCAGGAAGTGGCCGTCTTTCACTTTCACGGCCGCCGTCGGCACCGCTGTTGAGTAGAGTTGGAGAAGAATCAGCCTCTGCCATGAATGTTATTTGTAGAGGTAATTGACCGAACAAAGCTTGGTGAGATTTGTTTCCATTATATAGAAATAAAGGGAGAAAATGGAATGCACATGCATATGGTGGCATCATATGGCATTTAGCTCTTGGCTACCGTCATGAAGGAATCAATACTATATTGATTTGTTTTATTACATTAATGCTGTATAATGTATATATATATATATAGCATGAGATAGTTGCATATATATATAGCATGAGATCTGTCTTGAAAGGCACATGGGAGCATGCGTGACTTTAGTTTGTTTCTGTCCTGATCAAATATGGGACATTGGGACCATCAAGCTTGCTTGTCTTCTCTGCAAATTTTTGGTTGGATCAGATTATCAGCCCCATTAATACATTCCTTCTTTTTATCTTTACTTTTTGTTTATTCTCATTTTTTTTATTTGTTTATCCTTCTAATTTGAGTGGAGAGTCGTTAAGAAACAACGGTGATCGAAATTGTAATTTATGAATCTATGAATACGAACATAATATAAATTTATGAACATGTAAACTAATAGCTTTGCATTCACTCTTAATGAGAGTACATATAAAAGGAGAAAGTTACATGGAGCTGTGGGATTTAAATCTAAACACCAACACTAAACGGATTAGTGGAAACCCAGATGTTCTGTTCTCATGAACAAAGCGTAAAACCCTGCAAGATAAACAATCTGGTTCTTCAGACATTAGTTAATAAGAGCTAGGGATGGATGACCTTAGCAATGCCGAAAGCGGCGGTGGATGCAATGGCGCCGATAAGCGCGGTTTGGAGAGCGCTTTTAACTGGTTTGTTTCCGGTGAAGTAACCTTTGGCGTAACCGAAGACGAGTAGTGCAGCTATGGTGATGACCACTGATGCAACCACAGCGTCCTTGGCTCTTGGGATGAACATGTAGGGAAGGAGTGTAGGGATGGCAACGGGCCGGGTTCGGGCCGGGTATTGGTCCCCCATCCCCGTTTAAAAAACCGCGGGGATTTAAACGGGGATCCCCATCGGGTAATTGGAGAAAATCGCGGGGAAAAGGGTATCTCTGTTTAGCATAAACGTTTATTTAAACGGGTATCGGTAGGGTTGTTCATTCGGTTAATTCGGTGGCCGAACCGACCGAACTACCATTAACCAATTTTTTTCTTTAACCGTTAATCGAACCAAATTTTTTTTCGAAAATATTAACCGAACCGAATAAATTTCGGTTAATTCAGTTAATTTTTGAATTAACCGAAATTTTTTAGAATTTTCGAATTTAATACTAGAGAGCAGCTGCTGTTCCATTTGCTAGGGAAGAACGTGATGTTGGTATAGGTCCCGAGGCTGATTTTAATATGGCTAATTCACATGCTTCGCTTTGTCAGAGGAACGTTAAAGCTTGTGTAATGAAGACAACTTGTATGAGGTTATTGGAATGCGAGGTGAAAATGAGGGTTGCTGTCGAAGAGACGAAGACAATATGCAAGTTGCATTGATTTTAAATTCTGCTGAACATAATTTCCAGCTTGCCAATGCTAGTGGTGGGCTTCAGGTGTGTAATGGTGTACTGGACGAAGACCGTGCAGCAAGTACACGTTCGTTGGAAGTGGCACAATACCAGCAAACCAACCAGACTTTTCCCATTTAACTAGACAATGTTTGTCTATTAAAATATATTAAAGGTTCACACGTGATTGCAAACAAGAAGTGTAAGCACTATTTTTACTATTAAAAGAAAAAAAGAATATTATGAGACAGCGAAAATTGAGGTAAATTCTAGAAATTGAAGCGGAGACGATGTTTTAAAGTGGGGCAATATGGGGTGAAAAAAAATAATAAAAAATATTTAAGGGTTAATTTAAAACATGTTATTAATATTATATATAAAAAAATAATTATTTTTAATATTTATCGGGTCGGGTATCGGGCTGAATAATCGGGTAATTGGGGCTGGAATTACCAAACCCGTCCCCGTCCCCGTTTATTATCCCGAACCCGACCCATTAAATTCAATTTTCGATTTTCTCCGTCGGATTCGAGTTTTTTTGCCATCCATAAAGGAGTGGCACCAATCCACCCAATATGTACGCAATGGCAATGTTGAATGCGCTTTGCAATGCTCTCCTTGGATCTGGCTTCTCTAATCCCAGTTCAAACCTGCATATTTTATCAAGGTCAGGTTATGTCATTACTCATTAGTTCTTATACTCCATTTTAATTCATTTTAACCCGTGTGTGTTTTGAAATTTGAAATTCTAATTTTGACCCAAATAATACAAGGATGATATGATTAAATTACAAAAACTTAAAATAACCAAATCAGAAAACAGGAACTAAATATACTACACATAATATTAGAGACTAATAACCAATGACGAATCTAGAAATGTTTTTTTAGGGTGAGCACACATATATTAACAACGTAAAATGGGTGAGCATAAATAAAATCTTAGGGTAATCTTAGGGTAGGCATAATCTATAAAATGAATAACAAATAAAAGAAAATTCAAATTTGTCCACCCTTGATATAGCATGAATCCACCCGTACATAATAACATAGTTTAACTTAACAGATTTCACAACTACTGTTTGATTTAATATCAAATTTATTTTAAAATTTAAAAGTACATTGACAAACTAAATCCAACGTACAATATAATCCATTGACTTGTAGAAGAATTTAACCTTTTATCAGTCATTGTATTAATACCTTGGATTTTTATGAAAATAAAATAAAGATGAACATAAGATGATCAACAATGTATATTTGATCATCATATAAACCTTAATAATATTCGAAGTTGAATTGTTATGAATCTTTAAATAAAAGAAGCCCTCTCAATACAACTCTTTTATAATTAAAAAATGGATAAATTAAACATTTAGTACCTAAACTTTCACTTTTTTTTAAAATCATACCTAAAATTTAGTTTTTATTTCAGTTTAGTACCCATGTTCAAAATTTAACGTTCAGTTTTGATTTTTTTTTTGAAAATTTAGGTACTAAAACGGACTAAAACTGATATTTTAGGTATTAAACGTGTTAAGTTTTTAACAGCAGGTACTAAAATGAAACAAAAAATGAAACGTTAGGTATGATTTTTAAAAAAATTAAAAGTTTAGATACTAAAACAGATAGTTAGGTATTGTATGCGTTGTTTACCCTTAAAAAAACTTAAACTTAAAGTCATACTTACAAGTACATCTAGTTGGGTTGCTACTTGAATCAATAAAAGTTGGTAGGTTGTGTTTTTCTGGCTCTACTCCACTGAAGAATAATGAGGGAATGAACATGAAGTAAAAAAGTATGGAAATCTTTGTCACACATACAGACAAAGAGAATTTTTCTTTAAAGTGAATCAAAATGGTCCCCCAAACTGTTGCAGTCTGATCCAATGCCACATCGGGGGCCTTCTTAAAAGAGAGCTTTTAGCCGAACAATTGGAAAGCAAATTTGGCATTTTGCTCTACTTTTTAGAGACTCGTTCACTCAATTCATCAAACAACTCAACTACTACAATCTAGCTAAATATTCATTCCAAGAGAAGCAATCAAGCTTGTTTACTTTGAATCTGTCTTTTTACTTAATTATTAGGTACTTAAAACTTGGAATCGTTGGTGAATCAATGGATTCCACCCATAACGCCATGATTTGAAGGATTAAAACACGAATGCAAATATAAATTTGAACTTACTTCATCATGAAATCAAGCCAAGCCTGAGGCCTTTTTCTTAGAGCATTCACCACTGGTGCATATTCGTGTGGTTCTACTCCATACTCCGCCAGTATCTCCGCCACTTCAGCAGCCTCTGCAGTCTCACCAAACAACAGAAAGAAACCAGTAATTTCGTGTTGAAATTATTAAAATGGTTTTCAAGTTTGGTAACCAACTTTGAAAAAATGATTTTCAAAGTTTGGTAAATGTTTCTTTGAAAATGGTTTTCAAAGTTTGGTAAATGTTTCTTTGAAAAATAGTTTTTCAAAGTTTGGTAGATGTTTGTTGAAAAATGATAATGAGATAATCACAATTAATCCCTAGGCTTTAGGGTATTTACAAGATTAAGTCCTTGAGTTTCAACTATAAATACCCTAGCTCATTTAGCTTCAAAACCATCCCAAAAATCATTTCTTTCTCCCAATACTAGAGAGCTTTTTTGTGAGTAATGAATGTTTTGTAAACACCTGTAAATTTCCTCTCTTAGTAAAAGATCTGCAACAGTTCGGAGACGTAAGCACAATTGGCTGAACTCCGTTATCAATTTTGGGTATTATTTTTCCGCTTTTATTTTGCATTCTCACTAATCTGGTTATAGGGAAATTACTTGTACTTGGTTTATTTCCCAACAACTGGTATCAGAGTTTTTGGGTTGTGAATTTTGTTAATTTTTTGCGAGGTTACTATTCAGATTACTATTCACGTAAATAGTGAATTTCGTGAATAGTGAAATTCGGTCGGCGATACGAGTTTATCGACGGAGGTGTTCTAATACACGGCGGTTCGCAAAAATTGTCAGAAACGATCCAAACGAAGCCAGATTCGAGTGGGAGCGATGGCTGCAGACGAAGGGAAGGTGAAAATTAAAAAGTTCGATGGTGCGGACTTTGGATTTTGGAAGATGCAAATTGAAGATTTTCTATACCAGAAAAATCTATATCAACCCCTCTCAGGAAAACAACCAGAGGGCATGAAGAATGAAGACTGGGCTCTTCTCGACAGACAAGCCCTCAGAGTTATCCGACTGACGTTATCCCGCAATGTTACTTTCAACATAGCAAATGAAAAGACCACGGTGGGTCTTATGACGGCTCTCTCCAATATGTATGAGAAGCCATCGACCTCAAACAAAGTTCATTTGATGAGGCGATTATTTAATTTACGGATGACGGAAGGGGCATCGGTGGAACAACACCTAAATGAACTCAACACAAACACAACCCAGTTGAGTTCACTAGAAATTGAATTTGATGATGAAGTTCGAGCTTTAATTCTCTTATCATCTTTACCAGACAGTTGGAATGCTACTGTTACAGCAGTCATCAGTTCGTCGGGAAACAGCAAATTAAAATTCGACGATGTTCGGGATCTGGTACTGAGCGAAGAAATTCGACGGAGAGAATCGGGTGAAGCATCAACCTCTTCAGCCTTGCACACGGAGTCCAGAGGGAGAACTTCAGAAAGAAATTCAAATCGTGGCAGATCGAAATCCAGAAGGGGCAAATCAAGAACAAGAAATAAAGATTTTACCTGTTATAATTGCGGCAAGAAGGGTCACTTCAAAAGAGATTGCCGAGAATCGAAGAAAAATACCGGCGCACAGGAATCTGCCAACATGACGGAGGAGACAGGTGATGCCATGATTTTAAGCGTCAACAGTCCGATTGAATCACGGATCTTGGATTCAGGGGCATCTTTCCACTCCACCCCATGCCGAGAAATCATGGAGAACTATGTCAGTGGTGATTTTGGGAAGGTTCATCTAGCTGATGATGAAACCTTGAAGATCGTCGGAAAAGGAGACATCCGACTAAAGCTGCCAAACCAGACCACCTGGAAGCTGACAGGAGTGAGACATATTCCTGGCCTCAAAAGAAATCTGATTTCGGTTGGACAGCTTGATGGAGAAGGATATAGTACAATTTTTTCAGGCTGTGAATGGAAGATTACCAAAGGAGCACTCGTCATTGCTCGTGGTAAGAAGACCGGTACTCTCTATGTAACCTCAAATTTAGAGAATATCATTGCAGTAGCAGATGCTGATGGAAAATCAAACCTATGGCACCAAAGGCTCGACCATATGAGCGAGAAAGGAATGAAGATACTTCTGTCAAAAGGGAAGCTGCCGGATCTAAAGAATGTAGATGTCGGACTATGCCAGGATTGCATCTTTGGAAAACAAAAGAAAGTCAGTTTTACAAAGATTGGCAAGACTCCCAAGGCAGAAAGGTTAGAATTGGTTCATACTGATGTATGGGGACCATCCCCTGTTCCATCTCTTGCAGGCTCACTATATTATGTCACCTTCATCGATGATTCAACAAGGAAGGTGTGGGTTTATTTTCTGAAGAAGAAATCAGAAGTCTTTGATACCTTCAGAAAATGGAAGGCCATGGTGGAAAATGAGACTGGTTTGAAAGTCAAGCGGTTGAGGTCTGACAATGAAGGAGAGTACAGAGACAGTAGTTTCAGAGATTTTTGCGCAAACAATGGGATCAAGATGGAGACAACAGTTCCCATAACACCGCAGCAGAATGGCGTAGCAGAGCGCATGAACAGAACTCTGAATGAACGTGCCAGAAGCATGAGGATACATGCCGGATTGCCCAAATTTTTATGGGCTGAAGCTATCAACACTGCAGCTTACCTGATCAACCGTGGGCCCTCAGTTCCTTTGGATGGCGGAATACCAGAGGAAGCTTGGAGCAAGAAAGAAATAAACCTTTCACACTTAAGAGTGTTTGGTTGTATTTCTTATGTACACATAAACTCTGCTGAAAGAAGTAAACTTGATGCCAAGTCCAACAAATGCGTATTTGTTGGTTACAGTGGTGATGAGTTTGGTTACTGGTTTTGGGACTACGAAAATCGAAAGATCATTAGAAGCAGAGACGTCATTTTCAATGAAAATGTGATGTACAAAGACAGGTCAACCGCAGAATCAAGTAATACCGAAGATGAAATAAAGGAATTTGCTGAGTTCGAGGAGATTTCTGGAAATGATGTTCAGATCAGTCCTGAAGCAGTTCAAGAGGAAGAACCAGGCACACCAGAATTGAGACGCTCATCCAGAATTCATAAACCAACCCAACGATATTCTTCTTCTTTGCACTACTTGTTGCTGAATGACAATGGTGAACCAGAGTGCTATGATGAAGCAATGCAAGTGGAGGATTCAGTCAAGTGTGAGTCTTCCATGAAAGATGAGATGGACTCGCTTATGTCAAATCAGACATGGGAATTAGCTGAATTACCACCAGGCAAGAAAGCGCTCCATAACAAGTGGATTTACAGGATCAAAGAAGAGCACGATGGGAGCAAACGCTATAAAGCAAGATTGGTTGTCAAAGGTTTTCAACAAAAAGAAGGTATTGATTACAATGGAATTTTCTCTCCAGTCGTGAAGCTATCTACAATCAGACTGGTGTTGAAAATTGTAGCTGCAAAGAATTTACATCTTGAGCAGTTAGATGTAAAGACAGCTTTCCTTCATGGTGATTTGGAGGAAGAAATCTATATGAGGTAGCCAGAAGGCTTCATAGAGGTAGGCAAGAAAAACCTGGTATGCAGGTTGAAGAAGAGCTTGTATGTTTAAAACAAGCTCCTAGACAGTGGTACAAGAAGTTCGATAGTTTCATGAGTAGCAGTGGTTTTACCAGATGCCGAGCAGATCATTGTTGCTACATCAAGAGGTTCGATAATAGCTTCATTATTTTATTGTTGTACGTTGATGACATGCTCGTTGCAGGCTCAGACATGCAAGAGATTATAAACTTGAAGCAAAAATTGTCAAAGCAGTTTGCTATGAAGGATCTGGGTGCTGCAAAGCAGATTCTTGGGATGAGGATCAAGAGAGACACAAAGTCGGGGACTTTGATATTATCACAGGCTGAGTACATCAACAAAGTACTCTCCAGGTTCAACATGCAAGAAGCTAAACCAGTAAGTACACCTTTAGGTGTTCATTTCAGACTCTCCAAAGAACAGTCACCAAAGACGGAGGAAGAACGTGCACACATGGTGAAGGTGCCGTATGCCTCAGCAATTGGAAGTCTGATGTATGCCATGGTTTGTACCAGACCAGATATTGCTCAAGTAGTGGGAGATGTTAGCAGTCACATGAATAATCCAGGCAAGGTACACTGGGAAGCAGTCAAATGGATCCTCAGATATCTGCGGGGTACCACAAACAAAACACTTTGTTTCAAATGTAGATATACGATACTGACAGGCTATGTAGATGCTGACTTAGTCGGAAATATTGACATCAGAAGGAGCACTACAGGGTATGTCTATACTCTAGGAGGAACCGCAATGAGTTGGGTTTCTCAACTACAGAAGATAGTTGCTCTCTCCACAACTGAAGCAGAATATGTCGCTGTTACGGAAGCCAGTAAGGAGATGGTTTGGCTCCAAAGTTTCTTGGAAGAGTTAGGCAAGAAACAAGAAAACAATGTCTTGTATTGCGACAGTTAAAGTGTTATACATCTAGCAAAGAATCCGTCTTTTCATTCCAGGACAAAGCACATACAATTGCGATATCATTTTATCCGGTCTCTTCTGGAAGATGGGATTTTGAAACTTGAAAAGATCAGTGGAGCTCAAAATCCGGCAGACATGTTGACAAAGACGGTGACTACAGACAAACTGAAGTTGTGTTCAACTTCAGTTGGCATGCTAGAGTAACAAGACTGGAAAAGTTGTTGCATTGATCGAGGTGTGAAGACAGATTAAAATCAGTCTTCAAGTAGGAGATTGTTGAAATTATTAAAATGGTTTTCAAGTTTGGTAACCAACTTTGAAAAAATGGTTTTCAAAGTTTGGTAAATGTTTCTTTGAAAATGGTTTTCAAAGTTTGGTAAATGTTTTTTTGAAAAATAGTTTTTCAAAGTTTGGTAGATGTTTGTTGAAAAATGATAATGTGATAATCACAATTAATCCCTAGGCTTTAGGGTATTTACAAGATTAAGTCCTTGAGTTTCAACTATAAATACCCTAGCTCATTTAGCTTCAAAACCATCCCAAAAATCATTTTTCTCCCAATACTAGAGAGTTTTCTTGTGAGTAGTGAGTGTTTTGTAAACACCTGTAAATTTTCTCTCTTAGTAAAAGATCTGCAACAGTCCGGAGACGTAAGCACAATTGGTTGAACTCCATTATCAATTTCGGGTATTATTTTTCCGCTTTTATTTTGTATTCTCACTAATCTAGTTATAGGAAAATTACTTATACTTGATTTATTTCCCATTTCCCAACATTTCGGCGCAATTGTATTCATGAAAAGCAGCTGTATTCATAATACTAATAGTTTATATATTACCAGTATCAGGCACACTGATGATTTCTTCTTGCTCTCTTTTCAACTCCCTCGCGTAATGATCGGCTTCACTTTTAGCCGCGAGATACCTGCAACGCCTAACATCTTTACACCTTTTCGCTTTCATTTTGCTCGCAGTTTCTCAGTAACCAAACATGAGCGGGTTCAACGGTTCCTCTGCTGTTTTCGGCTGCCATTGCAGGTTGAAATGAATCGAAATGGGAAGCCGTGAATAAAACATGAGCGGCTTTGCTCTTTTATATGAAGAAGGGGTTGTGTTTGAATGGAAAATACTGGCGTGTTTGGCAAGTGCGCTCATATTCCTACAATTAATTAGATTCGAATCCAGGTTATTTATTTATGAGTTAATTGCATTATACGTCTCCAATCTATGACCCTTATTTCAAATTTCTTCCTAAACTGCGACTATCATTATAAACTAGTCCTCAAACTTTTAATATTTCATTTTCATTCCCAACCTATGATCTTCATTCTAAATAGGTCTTCGAACTTTTGAGCATTTCAATTTAATTCTAAATTATACGTGTATATTAATCAAATCCCTTTTTAATAAAATCTTTAGACCAAGTTATATTAATATATGTTTGGGGGGGGAATTAGGTTAAACTATGGTTGAAATGGAGTATATATTTAGATGAATTTGGGGATAATATTTAAGATGCAAAAGTTTAGGGACTAATTTAGAATGTATTCACTTTGGGTATAAAACTAGAATTTTTAAAAGTTTAAAGACTAATTTAGAATAAGATTCATAATTTTGGGATGAAATTGGATTGTTTAAATGTTTAAAGACTAATTTGAGATGAGGGTCGTAGTTTGGAGACATATGATGCAGTTAACTCTTTATTCATTAGGCTAAATTATCCAAGTGTGAATGATGTTTAGAGTTTGTATTGATTTTAGGGTAAACCACGGGTTTAACACCTAAACTATCAATTTTAATACTTAAACTTTCGATTTTTTTAAAATCATACATAAAGTTTAATTTTTATTTTATTTTAACAACTTTCCAAAATTTAACTATTTAATCAAATTATAATTAAAATTGACTTAATTGACACATATATAGTTTACAAAATTTCAGAATCAAATAGTTAAAGAATCATACAAATAGTGTACCCTAATTTATGTGACATATCATATCAACACCAATACCATGTACCAATAAGTACCAATACTATGTACCATTATTTATAATTTCCCAACAAAATTAAATTAATTTTTTTCAAGATAAAATTGTCATTTTAATTTTTTTACAACGTACCTCTTACACAAACTTTTTCATTTTAAAATTAGGGGTGTAAACGAGTCGAGTCGAGATTGAGTATTGTTGAGCTCGACTCGACTCGAAAACTCTGAAATGTAGCTCAACTCGACTCGAAAACTCGTGAGTTTAAAATTTTCAAGCTCGACTCGAATTCGAAATCCTGAACTAAAGCTCGTGAGCAGCTCGAAAAGGCTCAAAATGAAAAAAAAAATCTTAAACTTAACTCGATTGAAGGCTCAAACTCAAACTCAAACCTGAACCTTAAATGCATAAAAATCTTTCTGTATTTTTTTTAAAAAATCAATACATAAATATTAATATTATTAATGATTTATTTAAAAAAAACAAAATCTTAATATATTATATTTTTGAGCTGTTCACGATATTTTCGAGTCGAATATCAAGTAGTCCGTTTCGGCTCGTTAAGAACTCGAATCAACCTCGAGGTCGAGTCGAGTCCATTCGATCCGTGCATTTATCGAACTTTGATCGAGACGATCTCGTGCAACTCACCATCTATCTCGTTGAATACAGAGAACTACGGAAGTTGGGAGCACAGACTGTGCTAAATTTACTTTGGATTCCTAAGAACAATAATAACAGAATCTCCCCTAAGAAACATCTTGCTGATGAATCTGTCCTTGTTAACAGGCAGTGCCTTCTTCTTGCCTTTACCGGTTTTCGGCACCTGCACCGAACGGAGAAACGATTTTAACCTCTTAATTCGACTGTAACGCAGATTAATGTATAAGATGAAGGCATACAAAAGAAGGAAACGCGAAACTACCTCGGTCCACGTCTCCCTTACATTTTCCAGAACCATGTTGCAGTGGCGATCGAAAGCTCTCACTCGGCCAAGGAGTTTTTTGTTGTTCCGACAGTTGATGAGAACCTGCTTCCGTAAAGATTAAATTCAGGTCTGAGTAAAGCATGGTGTGATCAACATGTAGATGAGCATTGCTAGGGGTTCAGAAGATTGAAATATTACCTGAGTGTTATTTTAACGCTCATCATCAGAACCGACAGTGGTCCGGTGTTAAATTCCTCCTCTTCATTCTTCACGGTCTGCAGGCAGGTAAGCAAGTAATAAACGGATACCGGCAAACATATACGTTTTACACGACAACATGGTTTTTATTGTCGAGTTATTAAACTTGTCAAAATTTATCATTATTTATAACATTCACTTACCATTTTATAAAAAAAAATTAATGATTATTTTATAATTTTTAAGAAGTTAATAATCAAAAAATTACTTTTAATAAAACGATGCTTTTAGATGTCGCGGGTTCGAGCACCAGCGACTGTAGCGGGTTGATTGACAGTTCATTATCAAATAATTGAGAGTATTTAAATTATATATTACTTTTAAATCACCTTACCTTAATAAAAAAAATCAAGTTGTAGTAAAATGACGATTGTGCCCTTTGAAAGAATAGAGATATATTGAAAACATGAAGGAATTTTTTACTTTTAGTAGGGGCATCATAAGAAATAAAAAATAGGGATGCCTTTATTTCCATAAAGGTAGAAGATACAGGCTGTCCAATTCATATAAAGGAGAAAAATATTTGATCCAAAAATTCTGAAAATGCAAATCTAAGAGTTGACATATTTGTTTTCATTAGACACAGGACCGGACTCTCCTTCTCCGATTCCTGTTCGCTCAATGACCTTTCCTTCAGGCACGTGGAATTGGGAGAGGCTCTCGGATGTCCTTCCGGAAGACATCGTTCAACAGATCGTAGCTGTACAACCTCCTCATGACCGGTTGGGCCCAGATTCCCCTGGGTGGCGGTGGGAATCCGACAGACGTTTTACCAATAGACCAGCGTATAAGTCACTCATGCAGCAGGAGTTAGATGGTAATGCTATAAACGGGAAGCTTTTATGGAGTTTGGGGATTCCTCAACGAGTTAAATATTCCTTTGGCTAGCATTACAAGATCGGTTGCTTACAAATGTTGAAAGAGCACGTCGAAATTTTTCGGAGACGAAAGAGTGCTCGATCTGTCATAGAGGAGATGAAGATGCAGACCATTTCTTGAGACATTGTACAAGGGCTAGGTATACTTGCTGCAGGGTGATTCGAAGTTGACGATAACATTATATTATGGTGCATATAAACGTACGGTTTACTTATTTTAATTTAAATTAAGAGTCACACTTGATTGCTTTTAGTGGAATTACGGGTGATGGATGATGGTTTAGATGGTTAATATTGTTTGATTTTTAAAGTTTACAGAGAAATAAAGTTTAAGGAATGGAACTCTTTCTTAATCATCGAGAGATTTTATAATGATCTTTGATATTATTGTCAGGTATATAATCATAATAACTACTTATAAGTTGATAAATTTAATAGATATAATTATCTGATAATAAAATCAAAGTAAACCCACTAAGTCTTGACACGCTACTTCTCCAAATTCTCAGTTACAGGTTTTCCGTAGTCATCGTCAACATTTTCACCAACCCCAACATCTGCCGTAGTATTTATAGGCAGCATCTCTCATAGTTTTATTGCAGCTTAGAGAGTCGAGAGAAATCAGCCTCCAAAATATTAGGAGAGAAAATGGTGATCATTAAACCTTCATTTTCCATCATTTTATGCTGCAGCTTCCTCTTGGCATCCATCATCTTCTTCCCACACGGAATAGCCTCCGTGAAATTAGGGTATCCAGATCCAAGGAAATTAGGGTATCCAGATCCAAGAGCACCAAGAAAAAATCATTGTAACTGTTAAATTTTAAAGGTTTATTTTTTTATTTAGGAAAATTTTTTCCAACTTATATATAAACATTACTTTTAAATTTACTTCTTGTTTCAGGTAATAGCGGTGTGAGCATACCTATCTCACCGAGAGCACCTGGGTGTTCCGATGAAACCCATCGCACCTCAACTCAGGTGAATTCGGCGACACCAAACACGACAAAAAAATTCGAAAAGCAAAAAGCACCGTGATAATTGCGGCAACACTGTCGATTACAGAATCTTTTACCCTAATATTGGAGTCGCAAGTAGCTCTTACCCGCACTTCCTTTCCACAGCAATACGAACTAGTTTCTCTCTCACGGCACGGTTGGTTCGAGAGAATGAAATAAAAGAAAAAAATATGGAATGATATGCAGTGGGGACCTAGTAGAGATTTTAATATATATATATTACTTGTTTGCGTTGGTTGAAATGTAATAATTGAATATAAAGGAAATATTTTTGAAACTTTAGTGGGGAAAACAAAATCTTACTCAAAATTTAGTGACCATTTGTATAGTTTACCCTAAAATTTAATGGCCATCAGAGATATAGAACAAATAGTAATATAATGGTCAAAGTAAACTCACTCAAGTCTCTTGCCATGCTCCTCCGAATTCACAAACTAATTTTCTCATTTAGCGCTCGGCACTGCGGTCACATCAGATCAAACGGCGAGGAAAAAAATATAGGGTAAATTACATATTTAGTATTTAAATTATCAGTTTTGATTTGTTTTAGTAACTAAATTTTTAATTTTTTTCAAAAGCATACCTAACGTTTAGTTTTTATTTCATTTTAATACCCCACAATTAAAAGCTTAACACGTTTAATACCTGAACTATCAGTTTGGATCTGTTTTAGTACTTAAACTTTCAATTTTTTAAAAACTTAATGTTAAAATTTGAACGGGGTACTAAAATGAAACAAAAATTAAAGTTTTTAATGGTGGGATATTAAAATGAAACAAAAACTAAAATTTAGGTATGGTTCTAAAAAAAATTAAAAATTCAGCTGTTAAAATAGATTAAAACGAATAATGTAAGTACTAAACTCATAATTTACCCAAAATTGATAGTTTAGGAC